CAAATCTCAGATCCCCAGCTAATCTATAGAAGTGGGGCTATGCACCTGTAAAAATAACATGGGGGGGAGAATTCAACATTTTTGGGGGGGGGGTTACTATTTTCAAACGTCACTCTTTGGAAATGAACAATATTTGCAAAAACAAATTGCTGAGGTAGAAAAAAGTAGCGAAAACCATAAGATATTTGAACGAAATTTACTGTTTTTGAAAGAAAGTGTGTTTTTTAAGAGTGAAAGGTAGTTCGGAAAACGCCTAACAGTGTTTTGTAAAAAATGTAATTCCTGACCTTGAAAGTTCTTTCAAATCTGTTCTAACTCTTACAGTTTTATAGTTATAGCTGTAAACAAACGTGTTTTGTCGTTTTTAGATGTCCGCCAACTTGGATTTTTTGTGGCGCAAAAATTTGAAAATGGGGATTTGGTAGTCCATACCCTAAGTTTTTTAGTTATAGCTGTAATAAAAAACATGTTTTGTCGTTTTTAGATGTCCGCCAACTTGGATTTTTTGTGGCGTTAAAATGTGAAAATGGGGATTTGGCAGTCTACACCCTATTCAAATTTCAAGTCTCTAGCACCTGCCTAAACGATTCAGTTGAGCATACCAAAGTCAATATTTCAATCTTATCCTTCATAAGAAAAACATGAGGCTCGTAAAAGTGGTAAAACCATTCAAATTTTGGCATTAAACCTAAGTTTTCGGGGTCAAGGAGACAAGTTACGAAAAATCATGTAAAATGTGAAATTTGAAGAAAACTTAGGAGAATACAAAGCATTAAAAATATTTGAAAAAAATATACTTAGGAAAAAATAGCGAAAACCGAAATACATTTAATGAAATTTACCAATTTTTTTAAGTAGGGCGTTTTTTGGGGGCAAAGGGGTGAGATTTTCGAAAAATGCCTAAGAGTATTTATTTAGTAGAACATGTAATTCCTGTCCATGCAAATTCTTTCAAATCCTTTCCAGCTCTTACCGTTTCTCAGCTGTAGCAATTTGAAAAAAAAACATTGTTTTGTGGTATTTAGGGGTCCGTCATTTTAGATTATGAGGAAGGGTTAAAATTAGAAAAAGAGTTTTTTTTTAGATCCCATACCACAATACTACCAAATATCATGACTCTATAGCACATTTCAAAGAGAATCAGACCCATTTTCTGGGTGGTTTGGGACCAATACCTATGATTGTACGACATTTCAGATCTCTAGCTATTCTAGAAGTGGGTAGTGGGAATGTTCTTTCTACGGGGGACAAGAATTTTTCCGGTAAATTTTTTTTTCAGCGTTAAAAAACCAATGAAAATCAGGCAATTGAAAGTATTTAATAGAAGGGTCGTTTGTGGTGAATATGAAACACGTCTTGACATGTTACAGTCCCGATGTGGAGTTGCTGCTCTTAAGATTGAAAATTTGCTAATTTACTGTAAAACTTATATTGAGTTCAATAAGTGTTGCAAGTGTTGTTTGGAGTAAGAGGGAGGCAAAAATATTACAAATAAAATTAGGCCCCCTTCGGGGGCTGGATGGTTGGTTAAAATCATCATTGAAGGGAATGGGCCCCCTTCGGGGGCAAGCCACGCTATTGTAATAAAAACATTAAAAAATAAAAAATAGTATACTTTTATTATAAACGTTAATGTTATTGCCACTTGTACAGTTTCTGCAAGAGGGGTTATGGGGGGTGGGTGACATAAACAACGACTTTCAACTTGGTTGTACTAAAAAAAAACTACCGTTTCCCAACATTAAACCTACACAAATTAAAAATATCTAGAACGACGAGAAACAGTTTTACATGAGTTTTTTTTTTTTTTAAAGGGGGGTGTTGTAGGTTTGGGGGTGTATAAGATGAGATTGGCCTCTTTTAATTTTTCAAATGACTTACGACCATGAAGAACTTACTAATTTTTACCAAGACCTTAATATGCTTAAAATGCCATTTTATTGCCCGCATGCTAATTCTCTTTTTGATTAACATGGGGGATATTTTAAACCAAGAGGGGGTTTAAAATTAGACAATATCGATTTTAATAATATTTAAGGTAATTTGAACCGAATACCAACACCGCTAAAAATTTCAATGTTCCATCGCTAAAATGAGTGTGTAAGTAGGCTTATTCCTAAATTCCAAGGACCCAACTATCGAAATGGGGTTTTTTGAGGGGGTTGGAGTATAGATAGGTAAAAGGCGCAATGGAACAAAATGTACATCATAAAATTTTGTATACAAAACATTTGTTTGTTTATATATAATCTTGCGTTTATATAATTTTTAATTGACGAGAATCTTCAAAATCGGGATTTTTTATTTTAACTAAAATTATCCCCCCGACTTTGAGGGTTAAGTAGGGTGAGTGAAAATTCCGAAATCGGTTAAGGATGAAATTTAGGCATATTTAAAAACAAGTAATAGGTCAAACATACCCAAAAAAGATTTTAACCTACTCCAGGGCAGCCAACCCCCCAAAAAACGAGGAAAAATGGCAAAATTTCAAGTTTAAGCTTGAATTTGGGGGTGAAGGAGTGAAGATGGAAAAAAATTTTAAATTACAAAGTTGTAGATCGTCAAAAGTAAAGATACGTAGGTGCTATCCGTTTCTTGATCAGACCTATGGTTGAGCCGCGACGGACGTTTGAACAAAAAAACATGATGAAAAATTCCAAAATTTTGTGTTTAGAGCGAAATATACGGGGGAAGGGGTGGAGATAGAAAGAAACTTTATGTTATAAAATTGTAGCTCGTTTAATTCTAAATACAGTAAGTGTGCTCCGTTTTTTGATTAGACCAACGGTTTAAGCACAATAAACGATTTAAAAAAACACCTTTTTTCGGGATTTTCTAAAATCCACCCTTTTGAATTTTTTTGGGGGGGTTGAAATTTGAAAATGTAACTTTTGGCAATTTTCTGGGTAGTTTAGGACCAAAACCTATAAGTGTACAAAATTTCAGATCTCTAGCTATTCTAGAAGTGGGTAAACATTAGTATACCTGATCAGTGAGTGAGTCAGTGAGTTACACATCGGGCTGTATATTTAGTTAGACTCGCCTTTGGCTCGCTGGGGGCTCCGCCCCCAGGCCCCCTAGCTGTTAGTCGTCATTAGTAGATAGTAGTTTAGTTGTAACAAAGAGGGTAACAAAGCAGTCAGTGAAACAGTCAATATTGCGTTATAACAAAACAATTTACGAATATATTTGAGGAGGCTGGCAATTTAATATCAATCTCAAAGTTAAAGAACCCCTTATAAAAAAAATCAATTATAATGTTGTGGTAGGAGCATATGTTAGTAAAGTATGTTTACAACTGAGTATTTGGTCAAACGAAGTGATAATATAATTGGCATTGCAAGAGCGAAAATCGATATTGAAGTAATAATTATTTTACAATATATATTAGATTAGATTGAAAAGTTAATAAGTTGATAATTGTAAAGTATTATATGAAGTAAATAGATTTTAGTAAATATTCATATATATATTTATGAAAATAGATCAAGTAATGTTTGTTTCCCTGTCGGTTAGCCATAAACTGTATGGCATATCCAGTTCCGCCACGAGGAGGCCAGGAAACTTCGGAACCATATTTACAACATTAGTAGATAGTAGTTTAGTTGTAACAAAGCAATCAGTGAAATAGTCAATATTACGTTGTATAAAAACAATTTTACGAATATATTAGAAAGCCTCTTATACAAAAAGCGTGGGCGAAGTTGCGGTAAGTGAGTATGTTAGTAAAGTATTTTTACAATTGAGTTTTTGATCAAAGGAAGTAATAATACAAGGAGAGAAGGGTTCGTTATAGTTAAAATCGACATTAAAGTAATAACGATTTCCATGAATATATTAGAGGAGATTGATAAGTTAATAAGTAGGTTAATAGTTAAGTGTTATATGAAGTAAATAGATTATAGTAGATATTCAAGTATACAATTATGAAAATAGATTAAGTAATGTCTGTTTCCCTGTTGGTGAGCCATAAACTGTATAGCATATCCAGTTCCACCACGAGGAGGCCAGGAAACGTCGGAAACATATTTGCAATTATTTGAAAATGTACAAGTTAGTAAACCTTTGTATAAGATAAGTAAATTGATATTGATGTTCATTGATAGGTTAATAAGTTGATAATAGTAAAGTATTATATGATGTAAATAGATTATAGTAGATATTCATGTATATATGATGTAAATAGATTATAGTAGATATTCATGTATGTATTTATGAAAATGGATTAAGTAATGTTTGTTTCCCTGTCGGTTAGCCATAAACTGTATGGCATATCCAGTTCCGCCACGGGGAGGCCAGGAAACGTCGGAACCATATTTATAATTATTTATATAGTAAATGAAATAAATTGTTTATATAGTTAATGAAGAAGTGTGATGATATTGACGAAAGTAACATTGGTTGAAATAGTTTTAGTATATTAAGATAGAAGATGGTAGTAAAAATGCATATGTATTAATGAAAGATTATTAATAATACTGTGGGGTAGTGGATTAGCAGTAGTTTATGAATACAAAAATAAAAACCTATGAACTAATGTTTGTTTCCCTGTCAGTTAGCCATAAACTGTATGGCATGTCCAGTTTCGCCACGGGGAGGCCAGGAAACGTGAAAGCATATTTACAGTTATATAGATTAACAGTAATAGTATTTCAATTAAAAAATATGGTAGTAAATATTTATAAATATAATAATGTAAATCAATTATGTAATGTTTGTTTCCCTGTCAGTTAGCCACAAACTGTATGGCATATCCAGTTCCGCCACGGGGAGGCCGGGAAACGTCGGAACCACAAACGGTAACACAATACACACTAAACACCCAAAAACACACAAAACACACAAAAACTCACAAAACACACAAAACACACAATAATAAACTAAAGTTCGGGGACTTTTGTTAAGGCAGACCCCCTGTCGTACTGCCATGGATGTCAAATCACGACGGGGAGTTTTGTTTAAGCAGATCCCCTAGCCTACTGCTTAAGTCAAAGTAGTAATTAACGTAGGAGCTCGTCGTATACAATGTTCTTTGCATAGGCAACTCCTTCGTGGACCCTGTCAGGATGGACCAGAACAACGATGTCGTCAGGATGTCTGACTCTACTGAGAAGGACGTACAGTTGACCATGCGTAAAACAGTCACTGCGAAGATCGACTCCGACACGATCAATCGTCTGGCCCTGGCTTTTGTGGCCAGTCATGGAATAGGCCAGCATGAGAGGAAACTGAAGACGGCGGACGCGAAGCGGAGACCCCTCGACAAACGGGAAAACGAATTGAATCCGGGGAATACAAATCGGATCGCGTTGTCCAGGAAGTCGCACTGTGATCAGACGAGGTCTAATAGCGGTCACGATCACTTTAGTGCCGTTTACGAGTCCACTGTCAATGTTCAGGTTCCTCATGACGAGACACACGGAGCCAATCTTTAGTCGCAGGACATGGTCTGGCACGCCCTTGCCAGTAGCCTGGTTCAACAAGTGAACGTCTACATCCATACCATCGTCGTTCTCCTTGTCCACAGAATCAGCACTTCTCAACTCATGAACGAAGCCGTCCGTCAGGTTGAGAACAGTGTTGTTGATCTGCTGGACATTGGCATTCATGGTTGAAAGAATAGCCCGGCCAGCGATTCTATCTGTATGGCTTAGGTCACAAACGGGGAATACAAAGTCAACTAAATCGTGTAGTGATGTCACATATCTAATACCGCTCAAAGGAATCAGACTTGAGCAGCCACGGCCTTCTTCAAAATCAACAGATCTAATTGTTCCATTGCCTACTTTAAGGAGAAACTCAGAGTACGCAGTGGAGCCAGAAGTTCTGTGAGGGGTGGACAGGGAAAAGATTTTGAAGCTTGACCACAGAGATGACGCACACAGTGATACACAAGCAATGTCTGCTGGAGTACGAGCTTTAGCTACAACTGGTGCGATCTGACGGAAATCTCCGCAGCAGAGGAAGATCTTGTCCCCAAATGGCTCAGGTGAATTCATGAGGTCACGCAGAGATCTGTCGATGATTTCAAAAATGTACCGGTGAGCCATCGGGGCCTCATCAAAAACTATGAGCTGGGCTGCTCTGATGAGTTCTGCACGCTGAGATCCGTTGGTCAAGTTCCAATACCCAGTGCCATCGCCGAGATCAAGTGGCAGCCTAAACATACTATGTGCTGTCGTGCCACCAGGCAGACTACCAGCAGCAATGCCGGAGCTAGCGACAGCAATAGCAACCCTGTTAAGACTACGAACGTATGCGAGGATCACATGAATTAAGAAGGTCTTGCCGTAACCACCAGGTCCGTCGAGGAAGATAAGTTTTATGGACCGACTACCAACCTGGCCATGTAATATCGATCTTACATAATCAAACACCACTCTCTGGTCGTTGGAAAGCTTTGGTTCCCACTCATCTACTAGTGATCTCTGTTGATTCTCACCGTAGATGAGTAGTTCCCTATCCAATTCTGTTGTGTCGTCATATACAATGGGCAGACCGTGGTCGGCCAAGCAGGACCCCTGACGGCGAAGACTTCGATCGATTTCAATCAGACCCAGCTTGAAAGCAACGTCGTGATCAAGAGGATTCCGCTCCAAATGGTCCTCACACAATGTATCCCGGAAAGCATCCCACAAGAGGGCCGCAGGAGCTCCCATGTTACAAAGTAGAACAAAGAAAGAGCGGAGCCTCGGGCCGACCATAAATCGAGCAGCTTCCTTCAGTGCCTGGTGGTACTCGTCCTCGTCCTCAACCAAACCGAGGGTGCGCGCTACCTGTTGATATGTCGTGCAACCATCACCACCACGAGCAAGCAGGTCGGCGTATCCACGGCACGGTATGACCATTAACAAGAGTCTAAGAAAATACTGCTCACTCCTGTTTGGTGAAACCCAGAAGAGTCGACAGATCTTTTGGCCACGTTTTCTGGAAGTTAAGAAGTGCTTGTATAGTTATTTAGATAAAGAATATAAAAATAGACAGTTAACCAATTCCCTGATACGTTCAAAATATATAGGGCCTAATTGGAAATTTAAGTTATGGTTATAATATTTAAATAAATTATCTGTGTGCTAAATAAATACCTCTCTAAAATGTTTAAATCCCACCCATAACTCGAATTTTCTATGATATGTTGTGATATGTGATTTATTTCGGATGGATACAAAAAATCTGGGATTATTGTGGGATAGATGATACTTGTAGCTGCTAATCCATGGTTTATTCATAGGGCTTTTCATTATTTTTTGTGAATTTATAACTCATTAGCATTTACTTGTTTTATAAGTTTTACTTGACCCCGACTAATTGAACCACGTATAGATCCTGAGGTTAACTGTTCTAGAGTAAAATATTGAAATAGTTAAAATTAAATATTAAAATTAAAATATTAAAACTATTAAAGCATAATTGCCAACTGGTCAACCTGCAGGCTTAGATAAATTTAATGTTCCGAGACTTGTTCTGGACAGTTGTGGCAAGTTATTACATCAGTAGACCCGCGGACTCTTGCATTCTTGCATATTCATCACAGATTGTGCAGACCAGCGGCCTCTGATTCCTACTTTATTATTACAAGTTGTTATCTCTTGCAGATTGCACTGGTAAATGATTAGTTTCTACAAAAATCCAATTACTTTAGTGAGAAGTAACTAACAGATTGGGTACCCCAATAAAGAATACTTGTTTAAGCTTACGCTGCTTTAACATAGAATAAGAGGTGTTTATTCTGTACCTATATCTTCATAGAAGATGAGGTATATTTATTTAGATTGAGCATAAACGGGTTAAAGCTATTGAGTAAACCAATGAGATTGAATGATTTTGCGATAATAGCATGGCCTTCTGCCATAATGTTCCTCTTGAATCTCTTTGTTGCAATATCGAAGTTATAGCCTTATAATTAGCTCTTTAAAAATCAATATCTACATTTTTCACCCCGCCAATTATGTTTTCGAGATATTATTTTAGCCCTCACCGACTGACTGACTGACTCACTCATCTCTAATTCTCCCACTTCCCACTTACCTAGGAGGCTGAAATTTAATACACTGATTCTTTAGGCATTTAATAGGAAAACTAAGTGGTTTTTATTCTGATCGGACTCTCGGGCTCCACCCCAGTGGCTCTGGAGTTTCCCATGTTAACCTAATGAGTACTCATATTTAAATGGAATTAATGAATCATAACAGCTGTTTCAATTAAACAAGTTGGTTCTGTTCTATGATGTTCAATAGCATTAAAGTTACAAGGATTACCAACAGAGTGCAGCACTATTATTTTGTTTAAATATTTGACAGCAGCTAATTTGAAACCAAAAGGTGAGTGAGCGTAGCGAACGAACTTCAACCCGGAGGCAAGGTAGCGTAGCGAACGAGCTAACCTGAAGGCAAGTGAGCGCAGCGAACGAGCTCCAACCGTAAAGGTGAGTGAGCGTAGCGAACGAACTTCAACCAGGACGTGTGAGCGCAGCGAACGAGCTCCAACCTAAAGGTGAGTGAGCGTAGCGAACGAACTTCAACCAGGACGTGATTGAGCCATGCGAACGAGCTCACATATGAAGTTAAACGGGGCAAAGCCCGCGGGTACAGCTAGTTAATTTATATAACGACTAATTAATCATAATTTTGCACATGCAAATACGCTTTTGTTTAATTAATGTAGCATGGTCTATGTGCTGTGGGTATTTAATCGTACAATTATATATAATCCGTAAAGTATTTAGATTGCAAAGCTGTGGCTGGTGACGAATGTACAATCAGACAAGAGCGGATATTAAACGTTTCCCGGAGTTTGCGAGACTGGTCGTCATAGACTGAAACTCATATGTTTGCTGTTTTCACGAGCTACTCCAGGAAATACGTTAATAACTTAGTCAGGCTGATATAATGAATTATGTCATGTAAATCCAAACGACATTGTTACTTTTAGATTTAGTCCCCTCAGTTTTCCCCTTTTAACTAGACAAAACGTTTTCGTAAATCTAAACCGTTATATTATTTTACTAAGTTAAAACTATTCATTTTTCCCTTTATTTATTTTGCGACTTTCAAAATGTCCGTTAACAAAATATGTAAATCAGTTTGTGAAGCTTAGACACATTGTAGGTATTTATATTTGGATCTGAATCAACACAAGAATAATAAAACTTTTAGCCTATTTAACAGTACTAACATGATTGTTATAAAAAACATTATCCTTAAATTACTGTTAAACATAACTTTTACAGTAGCAAATAAAACAAAACTTGCTATTTTGTATAAAGGAAGATCCAAATGATTGAGATTTTTCAATTAAAATACTTTGGACGCCACTATGTGCGTCAATTCGCTCGCTCACACACCTTTCACTGCTCTTTTTCACATCTAGGCTATACCGTATTTTTAAGTTTTGGACTGGCAATTGTTAAATATGGGAAATATGCTTTAAAAATACAAATATTTTCATTGAAGCGTTGTTGTAAGCCTAACGGTTACGGTGATAATTTAAACAATAGTAAATTTAAAATGCCCATTTTTATGGAGAATAAACTATTGTAGTTTACTTGTTTATGGATATATTTTTATACAATTTGGCAATATTGTAAATTTCATACTAAGCTATCAAAATTTAAATTAACAAGCACACCTCATTAAGTTACCTAATCTGTACCAGCAAACCTAAGCACTAATTTAAATAGGAAATAAATCTGACAAGTTTAAGGGAATATTTTAGTGGAAATCTAGCCAGACAATTGTAAATTCGCTTAGTCTGCAGGTTTGTTGTGGCGGGGGTATGCAATAAAAAGCAACAGGAAGCATTCCACTGTGATTTGACGATTTGGGGTCCACATTGGTCTTAGAAACATAATTTAACACATTTTTTTTTTAAATTGTATTTCTTTAATTGCAGGTAAATGGTTAAAAACGACGTGACGTAGTACGAAATATACGGAGGCACTGGTACACTTATGAACATATTGTAACTATATGATTTAATTTGTAAAAGATCAGCTTAAATTGTATAATACTGCAAATAATAGTAAAATTATCGATGTATTAAGGCCTGGTCCAAAAACATACAAAAAATGTCATGGATCCTTATTTATTTCCATAATCAATTATACGATTTTGAAAATAGTATAACATCTCGAAACTCTATTTTTACTGGTATGGTAAAAAAAAGTAAACTGAAAGGTTGAATTTGTCGCCTAGTGTGGCCACCCCCAGCGACTCTGTCGTCACGACAAAGTCGCGTGAAAAAAAGTCGCCGCGACAAAATCGCCAAGTGTGGCCCTAGCCTAAGATAACATGGGGAGCGTATTTGTCGCCGTGACCAAATAACGCTCCCGGTCGCGTTTATTTTTCTGTCGCCGGTGGTCGCTGGTCGCGAGTCGCTTAGTGTGGCCGCCTCCATTTAATTTAATGCTACGCACTTTCATTCATTGTCTTCGCGACTTTGTCGCCGCGACAAAGTCGCTAAGTGTGGCCCTAGCCTTAAATTCACTTTGTTCTATTTTGTCTTTGATGCTCTATTTTTGTGTTATTTCTGTGTCATATTAATTGTACCTGCAACTGAATCAACTTAAATTATTGAATCTAGTAGTATTATTGCATGTAAGCGGCTTGAAAGAAAAATGTATAATAATATTCTGTATACCTAATCAAACATATTTTGTAAAATGGCGATTGCCGTATGTACGAATAAATAAATAAATAAATAAGAGTCCACGGATCTACTGATGTAATAACTTGCCACAACTGACCAGAACAAGTCTCGGAACATTAAATTTATCTAAGCGTGCAGGTTGACTAGTTGGCAATTATGCTTTAATAGTTATTTTAATATTTTACTCTAGAACAGTTATCCTCAGAATCTATACGTGGCTCAATTAGTCGGGGTCAAGTAAAACTTATAAAACAAGTAAATTAATTCTAATGAGTTATAAATTCACAAAAAAATAATGAAAAGCCCTATGAATAAACAAACCATGGATTAGCAGCTACAGTATCATCTATCCCACAATAATCCCAGATTTTTAGTCTACATCCGAAATAAATCACATATCACAACATATCATAGAAAATTCGAGTTAGGGGTGGGATTTAAACATTTTAGAGAGGTATTTATTTAGCACACAGATTATTTATTTAAATATTATCCCCATAACTTAAATTTCCAATTAGGCCATATACGAGGGATGCAAAAGTAGGTATACAGTACAAACAGGCATCAGCTTGAACACACAAGGAAGTGAGTGTTTTTGTCAAGTACAAAATTTTTAAGAGTTAATTAATAGCTATTTACATGACAAGTGTAGTAAGAGCGTTTATACATGACGCAGGTGAATGTTGTGCAACGAGCGGAAGTGAGTTGCATAATTCACCTAAGTGATGTAAACACGCTCTTGCGTAACGTGTAACGTACAAGATTTTACCTGACCCAACAATATACATGGGGTTACGTACAATATTTTTCATTATCCATTTCACTCATCTTCTAACAGTAACGTTCTTTTACAAACAAAAGCTAGGTTAGGAAAACACTTTAAAGCATAACAATAACATTCAAGTGCACAGCTGATTTCTAGCGTTGAATGTAGTTGGCTCCATAGAGGTATATTTTTTAAGTTAAGCACTCAATGTTATTTAAAAGGGTTTCATTACCTCACCGAGTGAGTTTTTTCAACTTTACATCACTCGAGAAGTAAGGAAGTTGTATACATCACGCTTGGGATAGGGAAGTTTAACATGACGGGTTAGGTAAAGTGTATTAATACTCTTCAAATAAATTTGAAAATTTTGCTTTTTAAATAAGTGAATATATTTTCTATAGAATGTTTCATTACTGTATACCTACATTTGCACCC